CCATAGTTAGCACACAAGCCATAAGTCACTATCAAGAAATACTTACTGCCATGGTCACAACGCTGATGCTCCTGCGGGCCGCAAGAGGAAGGAGGACGGCCGGGGAAGGCAGCGCTGGCGCGGTAGCTCCTCCTGGGAAGCGGAAACAGCATTTCAGCCGAGGCAGGTGAGGCCTAGTAGGCTGCGTGGGAAATTTGAACTGCGAGGACCAGGCTGGCAATTAGGCAGGTGGCCTTGGGCCAAGGACTGGTATTTTTTTTTCATGAGCTGGCAGAGACGGCGACGCAAGGCAGGATCCAGAGGCTTCCCAGGTGTAGTTTCCAAAAAAGGAGATTGCACAGAGGGAAGGAGTAAAGAGCAAAGTCTCTCTTAGTCATATGTGGCTGTTCACTTCTGGCTGTGGGGACTGTGGGGAGTTTTTGTTTATTATTATTATTGTTGTGGTTGTGGTTGCTGCTGCTGTTGTTATTAAAAAAACACCAGGCAGAGTCAGTCAAAATTATAAAAAAACACTGATTGCCATTCCATCACAGTTACAAACTTTTTTGCAGTTTGAGCACTGGGGCTCAAAAAGGTCTGCCATCACAGCCCTACACCCAAAAATTTGTAGTGGTGCCTCGACTTACGAACGTCCCGACATACAACCATTTCGAGTTACAGCCAGCTCTGGCCACAAAATTTTGCTTTGACTGGCCGCCGGAGCTTCCATTTACGAACACAAAAAGGCAGGGGGAAAAGGCAGGAAATTCAAATTTGCTAACCGTTGGTAGGCAAAGAGGCTGCTTCTTTGTAGCTTTTTTGCCCCAGCAGTTAGAGTGTGCACGATCGGAGGAGGCTGCATGGTAAGGTAAGGTGTTGCTTTCTGCTTTTAAAAAATTGTTCTGGGAGGGTTTTGCGGTGTGGTTTTGAGCTGGGGGTTTATGTTTCTGTGCTGTGATGGGTACTGGGGGAGTTGTTTGTTTGGGTTCCCCCCCCCATTTCCGATGGGTCTTAGGGGGTTTGGCTACTTTTGGGGGTGTTTTTTCCCATTTCCGATGGGTCTTGGGGATTTGTTTGTTTTTGGGTTTTTCCCCCATTTCCGATGGGTCTTGCATGCTTCCATTGCTTTTTGCTTTGTTTTCTTTGCATTTCCGAAAGGCTCCCTTTATTTTCTTTGCATTCCTGATGTGCTCCTTTGTTTTCTTTCGATTTCTGATGTTCTCACTTTGCTTTTTCCTTTGTTTTCTTTGCATTTCTGATGGATCTTGCATGCTTGATTGTTTTTCTCCCCCCCTTTAGCTGGAAGGGATTAATCACATTTCCGATGGGTCTTGCAGTGCATTTTTGGGGGAGGGGGGGTTATGATTTTTTTCCTTCGGCCGGAACAGATTAATTGCATTTCAATCCATTCCTATGGGAAATGGTACTTCGATTTATGACCATTTTGAGTTATGTCCATCTTCTGGAACGGATTATGGTCGTAAGTCGAGGCACCACTGTACTAGGTTAAAACAGACTCAAATCATCTGCAACGTTCTGCTTTTGTGTACTGTCTGGGAGGATTGTGCACAGACTGTGAAGCAGAGAGAGGTCAAAGAAAAGGCTCTCAATTTCAACTAGAGGTTCACTTGAAGCAAGTTCCCTGAAGCAAAGATAATCAACTTGCATACTACTGTGTTTCCCCAAAAATACGACAGGGTCTTATATTAATTTTTGCTCCAAAAAAAGCAATAGGGCTTATTTCCAGGGGATTTTTTTCCCCGTATACGACAATCTACATTTATTCAAATACAGTCATGTCATCTTCTGGTTGCGGCACAATGGTGGAGGGTGGGGTTTCACTTAACTAGGGCTTATTTTTGGGAAAGGGCTTATATTACGAGCATCCTGAAATATCATACTAGGGCTTATTTTCAGGTTAGGTCTTGTTTTCGGGGAAACAGGGTATTAGCACCAATGAAATGCTGCTGATGATATCTGGAAAACTGACATTTCAGGAAATGTCAGAGTTGAAAAATAAAGAATTTGAAAAATTAACAAAATGTAGAGACCTGGGAGCAGAAACCACTCACTGGTGGATGAAATACATTTCAGTGGTTCCCACAGTCATCAGGGCATTGGGAGTAACAACACAGAATTTTATAAAATATTACAATCAGCTACAGATCTCTTAAATAACACCATAAAAAATGTCAACAACCTGGCAATATTAGGAGAGTGTGTTCTGTGCCATCAAGTCAAAATCAACATATAGCAAACCTAATAGGGCTTTCATGGCAACTGAGATATTTAAAGAGTGGTTTTACCAGTTATATTCCCCCAGTTTCCATGGCCAAGTGGGGATTTGAACCCTGTTCTCCAGAATCCTAGTCCATCACTCTATCCACTACACCACACTGGGAACCTGCAATATTAGGAACAGCATACTTATTACATAGGTCTTCAACTGATATTTAAATTTCTGCTTAAAATTTGTATCTGTTATATACCAGTCAAGGACTGTGACTTGTTTATTATTATCATTATCATTATCATTTATGATTGTTGTTGTATTGTTGAAATACTAGAAGCAGATAACATCACACACACTATGATTGTTGTTATTGTTGAAATACTAGAAGCAGAAAACATCACACACACAAAAGTTAAAGAACTGACAGAAAGTGAATATATCAAAAGACTGCGGAAATCATAAAATCAAAATTAAATGGTGGAAATACAATCAAAGCCATAAACACATGAGCAGTTCCAGTAATTAGATACCCAGCTGGAACAATAGATTGGACTTAGAACGAATTAGAAGAATTGGATAAAAAAACACAGAAACTAATGAACATGCATCACACATTACATCCAAAAAGTGATGTGGAGTGATAATATTTACCACGTAAAATCGGAAGCCGTGGATTACTGCAAATACAGCACGTAGTAGAGGAAGAAAAAAGAAGCCTAAATGATTATATCAGTACAAGCACAGAAAAATTACAAGCAGTGAAAATAGAGAATATTTTGAAAACAGAAACAAAGGCTCAATATAAGGAACAACAATTTGAAAAGAAATTAAACAGCTGGAAAAATAAACCACTACATGGACAACACCTGAGAAATACTGATGGAAAGCATGATCATAATTCAACATG